GAACTAATTAAACATATATTACTGAAATAAATGCAAAAGTCCATGGGCAAGTCACTCTTCCTAAGGCACTTAACATGAGAAGTTGCTACAACAATTTCCACAGGAGCAGTTAATCTACTGGAAGACGACTTAAACCCCGTCAGGGGGAGGAATTTTTGAGGGGGAAGGTTAAAAATGATTCACTTTCCGCGAAGTGAAAGGTCAAAAATTTTCAGTGGGGTGTGACTGTATGGGGGCATTTTCCCAGGGGGAAGTGACTTAGTAAGCCTTTTCCAGGGGAGTTACTGTCATAAGGTATTTTTTTGGAAATTTACTTTAAGGTATTTTCCATAGGGAAATGACCATTTATATTGGCACATTCCTGGAGAAGTGACCCTAAGGTATTTTTCTACTTTTCTTGGAGAAGATGCATTACACGGGAAAGTTTCTACATACGACCTAAAGTACCGATGAACGGGGTTTTATCCACTTCCATGTGGAAGTGACTTCTGAGATTTATGGGGAAGTGACTGTTCATGGGGTTTTTTCCATTTTTAAGGGGGGAGGTGGGGCTTCAAAAGATTTTTCATTGGAAAAGTGACAAGGTAGTATTTAAAAAGGGGATTTGGGGGAAAAATTTCACGAGGAATCTAAACCCTGGGTTCTGCAGGGGCATGTATGACCTACGGATTTTGGTTTCCCCTTGGAAACAACATTAATGAAAATTATAATTACCATGTTTAAATAGCTTCTGAAAAATCAAAATTTAAAAATTTTCCCTTTAAATATATCATCAGAAAATAACGTGAATGTTTTGCACTCAAACACGGAAGTAAGAATTTATAGCCCCAAAAAAAGCCCTTTTTAAAAATGTTGGGAAGGGCTCTTGTTCCAACGAATCTGCCCTGTCCCAGATTGCCTCCTTTTTGGACGCTGATGACCTTTAGGGTTTAGAACGTCGCCATGAATTTATTACGCATGCTTTTGTGTAGGTAAAAAGACTTACTAAAAAGGGTTTAATTTTGCGTATGCTTTTTCCCCCCTAGTTAGGGTTTCCCAAATGTAATAAGGCCCTGAGATTACTAATAAAGGTTTAATTTTGCTGAAAGTCGTTTTCCCTTTTATGGTTTACCAAATAGTAAAAGGCCCTGAAAAGGGAAAGGTTCATGGTGCGGGTGCCCGGATTTTTATTGAAGGGTTTAAAGGTGACTTTAGCTCAAACCTGTTATTCCTATTTCCCCAGGAGCCACACAATGTAATTGTTATAATGGTCAAAGATGTATACACGAGTTTACTTCACTCTTTCTTTTTAGGATTAGATTATTCTTTTTTGGGGTGGGGTGAAACTTCGTGCGTTTTGGGCTTTAAAAATTTAAAAAATAAAACCGTGTCTTTTTTTGAGTTGATTCTAAGTTAAAAAAAATTCGTTTTAGAAAATTTTACTTTTTCCCAGTGACCGGTTTCGAAATTTTTTTTAAAGTTACACCCCGGCCAGGCCCAGCTTTCTGTTAATTGCCTGCTAACCAGCCAGGTTTTAAAAACATAACGCGCAAATATAGAAAGTGTGATTAAAAAAAATTATTTTTTAAACATAGAAAGTGCTACAGTGCCAGTTCTACATATAAATATACTACTAATGTTAAAGGCACCCTTTGATAAACCGTGACTTTAATCGTGTTAGTGCTTTATTTTTTTTTTGGGGGTAATTATTTATTATTATTTATTATTTTTTATTTTATTATTTTTTATTATTATTATTATAAAAAAGAAGCCCCTAACCACAAGGGGCCCATACAGCTTTGGGGAAAAATCTTTATTTACGAGGTGTATAAAAAGTCTGTACTGCAGCTAAAGAATAAATGGGGCTATCAAATACCTCTTGAATTGTATTCTCGAAGAAATTTGGGGAGGCTTACAATGATCTTAGCATCTCTGCCCTTCTCAAAACTTTTCTAAATTTTTCCCTAGTGGCGTCTGGCGCGCCCTGCGATTTGCTTGAATCGCGGGGGCCCAAGAAGGGAAGTAAGGAGAACTATCGCCACTTTTTTGGGCCCAGAAAACGATGTTTTTTACATTTTGAGTCAGAAGCGGGGCACAGATATTTAGCACTTGTAATATGCGGATACTCTGATACGTTTCATTAATAGTTTTCCTAAATTTTTGAAGTTTTTTGCGTTTTTTTTGACTTTTTAATCTTTCCCCCCCCCCCCCCCCCCCCCCCCCCCCCCCCCCCCCCCTACACAGAGTTTGCTATATTTTCTTTATAAGTGCCCTCGGTTCAACAGGAAAAAATGTTGATTTCATGAAAGGGTATTTTTTTTTTGGGAAAATCCTGATATAGTGTATTTAAGCATGGGCCATTTTTATGGTAATGTCATAAATAACGGATGATATTTTGGTATATTGTTTTAAAGTTTAAAAAAAAAATTTGATTAGTGAACTTTGCCTTAATAAAAATCTATTAATTTTTTTTTTAATTTTTTTGAGAAATGGAAATTTGTATACGATTCAAGGATCCTTTGGGAATTTTTTATGCCATTCGAATCTGTTAAATTTACCGAAACAGCAATTCATTCTTGCAAAATAAATGGCGCAAAATTAAAATTAACTTCAGTACTCTAAAAAAGACGAGTCCCGGTTATTATTATTAGTGTTCGGAGTTAAACAACAACCATTTAGGTTATAAACGAAAGTCCTTAATTTCAAGGAACTGCAAACAACATCGGTTTTTCAAGTTCGATATTTACATCACATTCATTTACGATTTGTACTGAAATTTTTTATATTGATGAGGAAGTGCTGAACGTACGGATTTTCCGCGACTAGGGGGAAAAAGGGGGTAATCAAATTTGATGCAAGGAAGGGGCGTAATAAGGCTCTTTGTCGGCATTGGTAATCCTTAAAAGGGGCATTTTTAAAAGAAGCAAAGTAGGAATAATGGGAGAAATTCTTACCTAGAATGCTCTTAGGGTTTGCATCGAAGGAAACCCCCGGGGGGAGGGGTTGACATCTGAAGGAATCAGGGGGGAGGGTTGATATCTGAAGGAACCGGGGCAGGGCTGACTTTTGAAGGAACCCCGGGGGGAGGGTTTGGGATTGAAGGAAACCCCGTGGCAGGGTTGACATCTGAAAGAATCCAGGGGCAAAGGGGGGGGGACACTGAAGAACCTGGGGGCGGGTTGACTATGAAGGACCCCGGGGGAGGGGTTACATAAAGGGCCCAGGGGGAGGGTTGACATGAAGGAAACCCGGGGGCGGGTTTTTACATATGAAGGAAACCCGGGGGAGGGTTGAAACTGAAAGAATCCCGGGGGAGGGGTGACATCGAAGGAACCCGGGGGCAGGTTTTACTATGAAAGGGAAAAAAGGGGGAGGGGTTTAAATATGAAAGGAAAACCCCGGGGGGAGGGTTGACATCTGAAAGGAAATTCAGGGGGCAGGGGGCCTCTGAAGGAACCCAGGGGGGGGGTTGAAAATTTTAAAGAACCCAGGGGGGAGGGTTGACATCTGAAGGAACCCAGGGGGGAGGGTTTTCTATGAAAGGGAAACCGGGGGGAGGGTTGAAATCTGGAGGAACCCGGGGGGGAGGGTTGACATTGAAAAAACCAGGGGGCAGGGTTGCATTGAAAGGGAACCCCGGGGCAGGTTTACATCTGAAGGAACCCACGGGGCAGGGGTTGAATCTGAAGGAACCCAGGGGGGAAGGTTGACATTTGAAGGAAAACCCGGGGGGGGGTTGCTATAAGGAACCAGGGGAGGGGTTTACATCTGAAGGAACCAGGGGAGGGTTGACATATGAAGGAACCCAGGGGCAGGGGGGTTTCAATGAAGGGAACCCAAGGGGCAGGGTTTTACATTGAAAGAACCCGGGGCAGGGGGTTACTTGAAGGAACCGGGGGGGGGGTTGACTATGAAGGAAATCAGGGGGCGGGTTGAATATGAAAGGAACCAGGGGGCAGGGTTGACATAAGGAAAAAAGGGGGCAGGGTTGACATAAGGAACCCCGGGGCGGGTTGACATAGAAGGAACCCGGGGGCAAGGTTTACCTATGAAGGGAAACCCCGGGGGGGGGGTTGACTATGAAAAAAACCCGGGGGGGGTTACATGAAGGAACCAGGGGGGAGGGTTACTATGAAGGAACCCGGGGGGAAGGGGGACATATGAAGGAAACCCCGGGGCAGGGGGTTTAAAATAGAAGGGAAACCCCGGGGGCAGGGTTTTAATATAAGGAACCCCGGGGGGAGGGTTGACTTTTGAAGGAACCGGGGGGAGGTTACATTGAAAGGGAAACCCGGGGCGGGTTTTTACATATTTAAAAGGAACCCCGGGGGGAGGGTTGAGAGCTCTTCTCGGATCGGGACACTGACCCCGGGCGATAATTAGTATTTGTATTGCAGTATTTAATAATTTCCCCATATTTATGGCTTTAAATAGGGTATAACTATAAGGGAATGCACGAGATTCATTACAATTGAAGTGTAATTCTTGTTGTTGCAGGACTCTCAGTCCATTCAAGAGTTAAATTCTTTACTTCATGAATTTCGCCAAATATTAATTATCAATTTTTGTTTAGTGTCATAACAACAGAACCTAATAAACTTATTCTGTACGATGATGAACAGTTGCGTTTGTATTAAAGAAAATATTTTGTTATCAATTATTTAAGAATTCTATTCTTAATTAGAAGCATACCTATTTAAAGGAACATTTATTTCCTGTCCACAGATATGCGTTGAATACGTCAAACTAGAAAAGCGTATGTAGTACTAGTGAACAGTGTCACTAGGTATCCATAGTCAACTGGACTAGTTTGTGCCAGTTACATTAGGAGACTTAACCTAAAATCATAACTTAGTGTTAAATGCTCGTGGCAGACCTGATGACTCTAAGTGGACCTTTGCAACAGCGGGTCTAGGTGACGAGGACTGTGATGACAGTAAATGATTGGTTCATAGTTTGTGGAGTGATGACGAATGAGGATAAAGAGGCACTCCCAGGCAGTATATTTGAGGAAGGGTCATCAGGCGTAGCTGGAGAGAGACTTCAAGGAGGTATCAAGCATCAGGGGCACTACTACGCCCTTGAAACATCCTGCAGCCATCATGCCCATCAGAAGAGGCCACGTCGCACCTCAAAACCTCTTCATTGACACCATTATCCGTCGCTTCGATGGCCCACGTAAGTGTATATGTTTGTGGATAATTTTTATTTTATTCTGTACTATTATTTAATCACAAATTTTAGTTTGAAATTTCGTGCTGGCACGTTTCCCTTTCTTCCAAGTTCATAAAAAAGTTTCACTTGCCTCTGTAGGTCTTTATCTTCATGCTAAGAGGAAAATATGACTGACTCCTGCAAATGTGGGAAAGGGCATGACTATAGTGATCTTCTGGGTGTGAATTATTTTATTCAGTTAGAAAAAATAAAATAAAATCAGGGACAGTGTATTCTTCGTATTTAGCTTTTCACAAGGAGGCCTTAAGAACCCTCAGTATTCACATTCTTCTGTATACTTTGCTTCTTGTTAGACATTCTGAATGCATTTTTGTATTTATACTTTGTTTTAATTTTTTAAATGCATTTTGATTTGTTTTTTGACAAAATTGCTATATATTCTGAAGCTGTCTCGGTTATAACAGATATGTGTTCTGAAATAAATATATGCTCGTTATAAGGTGACATTTAATCAAGGCCATTTAAAATAATGTGCAATCGAGACTATTGTGTTGCGAGCTGCATTGCAAAATAGCTAAAAATATAAATATTGAAAGTATGTGGCATAAAAAGCAGATTGATCGTTATAAAATATGAAAATAATGAAACGCGAATAAAATTTTCGTAATTATTAATGTCAGAACTATGGAGTTGTTAAGCATAGCCATGGGAAGCAAAGAACAAAACTGTTTATATAAGGAGAGAGAGATAACAAAATTTAGAATTTAGATATATAAATAGCGAGTGTCAAAAAATTAAACGAAGCTGGGTAGATGAAATATCAGTTTTTATACTAACCTGAATAAAGACTAGTAAACTAGTTTCTCAACACAAAGGACACACGGATGTAAGTAGTCAAAAAAGACATAAACTACAGTATCTTAGATAAACATAGAATAAAAAGTACTTTATAGTATTTCAAATACAAAAAAAAACAAAAAAAAATTATAGACTAATATGGATATAAGAGATACAGTCATGACGTTAGGAATTGTTATAAATAAAAGTTTGAAAGACGATGAAATTACGTTAAAAATTAGATTATAGATATATATATATTTATATATATATATATAAATATATAAATATATATATATATATTATATAAATATATATATATATAGAAAATACATAATAATTATCTTATATATATATAATATATTATATATATTATATATATAATATATACTATATATATATAATATAAATTATGAAATTATATTATATATAATTATATATATATTAAAATTATATTATAATATATATTATATATATATTATATATAGAATATATATATATTAATTATATAAATATATATATACATATATATATATATAAAAATATAACTATATAATATATATATATCTATATATATATTATAGAGAGAAGGTTAAGAGAAGTGGTGAAGCAATGTAAAAAGAGAGCAAATGAGAATGGGTGAGATGTTATCAACAAATTTTGTTTGAAAATAAGAAAAAGTTTTTGGAGTGAGATTACCAATTAAGAAAGGCCTAGAGAACAAATGGATTTGTCAGTTAAAACAATAGGAAGGAGAGTTATTAACATGGAGAGTTAGAGGTAATGGGAAGATGACGGAATTTTTGATGTATTGTTAAATGTTTGTTGAAGATAGGGAAGCTGTGATTTCGTTATAGGGCAAGGAGGAATAACATCTTGTAGAGTGAGAATAGAAAGAAAGAGTCAGTAGTGAGTGAGGGGGAAGTTGTGAGGCAGTAGGTAAAATGAAAGGGGTAAGGCAGCCGATTGATGGGATAAAGATAGAAATGTTAAAAGCAGGTGGATATAGTAATGGAGTGGTTGGTGCAATATTTATAAATGGTATGGAAGAGGGTAAGGTACCTAGGGATTGGCAGAGAGCATGCATAGTTCCTTTGTAAAAAGGCAAAGGGGCAAAAGAGAGTGCAAAAATTATAGGGGGAATAATTCTGTTGAGTGTACCTGGTAAAGTGTATGGTAGAGTTATAATTGAAAGAATTAAGAGTAAGACGGAGAATAGGATAGCAGATGAACAAGGAGGCTTTAGGAGGTAGGGGGTGTGTGGACCAGGTGGTTTACAGTGAAACAAATAAGTGAACAGTATTTAATAAGGCCAAAGAGGTCTGTGTGGCAATTTATTGATTTGGAAAAGCGTATGACAGGGTGATAGGGGGCAATGTGGCAGATTTTTCAAGTGTAGGTGTAGGAGATAGGTTACGGATAGCAGGAAGATTATTTTTACGAGATAGGTGAGCTCAAGTTAGAGTATGTAGGAAAGAGGGGAATTTTTCCCAGTAAAAGTAGCCATAGACAAGGATGTGTGATGTCACCGTGGATGTTTAATATATTTATAGATTGGGTCGTAAGAGAAGTAAATGCGAGGGTCTTGGCAAGAGGCGTGGAGTTAAAAGATAAAGATCAACACACATGTGGGAGTTGTTCACTCACAGCAGCTCTTTGCTGATGACACTGTCTCTTGGGAGATTTCTGAAGAGAGTTGCAGAGAATTTTGTTGATGAATTTGGTAGGGTTGTGCAAAAGAAGAAAATTTATGGTGAATCCAGGAAAGAGTAAGGTTATGAGATAACAAAAAGATTAGGTGATGAAAGATGAATATCAGATTTGGAGGGAGAGAGTTATGGAGGAGGTGAACGTATTTCAATATTTGGAGTGGACGTGGTCAGCGGATGGTCCTATGAAAGATGAGTGTATCAATAGAATTGATGAGGGAAAAAGAGTGAGTGGTGCACTTATGATTCCTGTAGGAGACAAAGAACTTTGTCCTTGGAGGCAAAGAGGGAATGTATGAGAGTATAGTTAACCACAGCTCCTTATATGGGTGTGAACGTGGTGATGAATGTTCAGCGAGGAGAAGGCTGAGGCAGTGGGAGATGTCATGTCCTGAGGGCAATGTGTGGTGTGACTATAATTCAGAGAATTCGTAGTATGGAAGATATGAGGAGGTGGCGGGGATTACCAAAAACTGTTTTGTGCCAGAAGGGCTGAGAAGGTTTGTTTTGAGGTGGTTCGGACATGTAGAGATCAGGAGGTAAACAGAATACTCAAGAGTGTACAGTCTGTAGTGACGGAAGGCGGGGTAAGGGGTCGCCTAGGAAGGTTGGAAGGGCTGGTGTAAAAGGGGAGTTTTTTGTGTGCGAGGGGCTTGACTTCCAGCAGGCATGCCGTGAGCGTGTTTTTGATAGAGTGAATGGAGACAAATGTTTTTATACTTGACGTGGCTGTTGGAGTGTGAGCACAGTAACAATTATGAAGGGATTCAGGGAAACCGGCAGGCGGACGTGGGGGTTTGAGTTCCTGGAGATGAGAATACAGTGCCCTGCACTCGTGAAGGAGGGTGTTTAATGTTGCAGTTTAAAAACTGTAGTGTAAAGCACCTTCGGCAAGACAGTGATGGCGTGAAATGATGGTGCAATTTTTCTTTTTTCGGGCCACCCTGCCTTGGTGGGAAACGGCCGGTGTATAATAAAAAAAATATATAGATATATATATATTTTATTAAAAATTTAAATATTATATAATACATATAATACAAAGAAATTAAAACAACAAAGGGGTAAATGAATATAACTAAATAGATAAAGAGGAAAAAATTTTTTTTAATTATCACCGGATTATTAAAAGAACAAGCTCGGCTACAAACACCCCTCCGGGGATCAAACCTAATTACTTACTGTTTCTCAGGAAGTATGACCTCTGCGATTTTTTCCACCTCCCACTGACAAAGTAACAATATTAGATAAGGAATGTATTAGGTATGTAAAAAGGGTTTCAGTGATCGATCCGCCCCACACCATAACAACCACCTTTTGTAAAGGTAACCACCAGGCAACAAACCCTTTGGGTTCCCGGGAAATTCCTCACCGGGGTTCCACCTACAGTGGGTTTTTCAGCTGGGTTCCCACCGGGTTGCCACTTACAGTAGTTGTTCACGGTTTTTCCCACTTGGTTGCTCACCTCAGTAGATTGCTCACTGGGTTCCTCCCAAATAGGTTTCCAGCCGGTTCCCTCACGTGGGCTGCTTAACGGGGTTTCCTCCCCTACATAGGTTGCTCAGCGGGGATACCTTTTGGGTTTCCTCATCTGCGTTGTTCATTTGGGTTTCATTACCGGGGGTTGCTCATTTGGGTCCTCACCGGGGTTGCTCATTTGGGGTTCCTTCCCGGGGGTTTTTTTCATTTGGTTCCTCACCGGGGTTGTTCTTTGGTTCCTCATCAGGTTGCCATTTGGGCTCCTCATTTGGGTTCCTTTACTCTGTTCCCCCTAGATTCCTCATCGGGGTTCCTTCCCTAGGTTTCTCTTTGGATTGGTCACCTAGATTTCCAACCCGGGTTTTCTCCCCTAGATTTCCACCTTGGTTGCTCACCTGGGTTCCACCTACATTCCTCACGGGGGTTTCCCTTTTAGTTCCTCAGCGGGGTTTTCCTCATTTGGGTTTTTTCCTAGTTTTTTTCAACTGAGTTGTTTCCCAAAATTCCCTCGCTAGGTTCACTAGATTCCAAATCGGGGTTTACTCACCCAGGCTCCCCCACTGCCACGTCCCCAAACCCCCCTGCTCAGGCTGTCTCACTAAACCCTAAATTGCTTTGTTTTGTAGGTTCCCTAGAGAGAACTTTTTAGGGCACTGTATAGAAGGATAGGTGATAACTTAAACTTCCCGTTTATTTAAAAATTAGGGGGTTATGAATTTAAAAGGATTCTCTGCGTTTAATACATTTTACTGAAAAGGTCAGTTCTGACAGCGTAACAGTAATATATATATATATAAATATATAAAAATATATATAATATATAAATATATAAATTATATATAAAAATATAAACAGTTATATATATAATTTATATATATATACATGTATATATATAATTTTAAAATTAATATATAAAATATATAATATATAATATATATATATATATAAAAAATATTTTTTTTTTTTTTTTTTTTTTTC